GTGGGCGGGCGTGGGGCGCTGCGGCCCGCGCAAGTGTGGACGCGGTGGAGGCGCTGGGGTGAACGCCGAGGTGTCGAGTGCAGCCGCAGTGGCCCTTTTCCCCCAAGCTTTCTGCAGCGGCTCGGGATTTAATTCATTGCTGGAAGCTGTGGAGCCAGCAGAGCCGAGTTAACTTCTTTCCCGGAGCCGGGGTTGGGGGACGCTTTACAAGGTAACGAGCAGCTCCGGAGAAACCGCGGTTTGCATCCATGGGAAGGCATAATGTGTGATGTCTGCAGGTAGAAACTCGTCAGTGACCTTTCCTGCCCCCGCTCTGCGCAAGAGACACGTTTTGGTGACTTTGGTTTCTTCTGATTTGTAAGCAGTGACTTGACCTGGGTATGCGTTTATTATGCGCTTTTAAGTGTGTAAGTAACACCAGGTTTTTCAGAGAGCGTCTCCGAGGAGCTGGGCGAATGGGGAGAGGCGGGGTCCTACCTCCACCCGCCACCAGCTGGGTGACCTTGGCCGACATCTGTGCCCCTGTGGGGCTCCGTCTCCTGGTCTGTGCTGAGAGGTTTGACCTGCTCGTGGTCGAGGTCCCTCAAAGGCCCCTGGTTCCGTGGTTCTGACCCCAGAATGTGTTTAGGAGTGACGAAGGTCCTGCAGAATCACAAGTTGATTTGAAAGACTAATTTTATGTCCTCATGTCTTAATTCATGTACTAGACATAACCTCTGCTTAATTAGGTATCTTTTGTTTAAAAGAGAAAATGGTTTTACGTGCTGTGCTTTAGCTGGCACCTTTGGGTTGCCTGCTCTTTGTGCCAAGCACTGTGCTGGGTGCTGGGGTTATAAAGAGGAGGGAGACTGATCTGGCCTTGGGACTGCTGATCGTTTTCCACAGAGGTGCATGTCCTGAAACTGTGGAAGAGGAATCCGTGTCTGTTGGAAGGAGGACACAAGACTCAACAACAGCCAGGACGGGTTGTGGTTTTACTTGAGTAATCCTGTAAGCTTGACAGCTTTGAAGAATGCCTTACAGATATCTCTCGTGGTAGTCCTGGGAATCACCTAAATTCCAACCAGTGCTTGCTTGGGCAAGGAGAGGCTGCTGTGAGCTGCAAGAACGCTGTCATGGGTCTTTTTACATGTCTGTCCATTATGTGTGAGTGCTGCTGTTCCTGTGATATGAAATGAACCTTGCTTATAATTAGTAGCCGTTTCTTCCTCTAGGCAAGAAAAGAAATGGGTGAGATAAGAAGGCATGAAGAGGCTTATGGAAGAGAGAAAGAGAGGGCTGACAGGCATAAATGCTAAAAACTTAAGCTTATGACTGTCTATTTTGAAAATAACTATAATTTTGGCACAAACAACCAAATTGTCCCATGTTACCAAAATAGATTAGTATTGAATTTTAAGGATATATTCAAGGCAGAATAAGAACAAACCCTTTGTTCTTTCATTTGCCTCCTCTAGCTCTTCCCTGCTTTGGCAGCAATAAGGGACATTTATCTAGCAGGTTGGCTCTTGGGAGGTGAATGGACAATAAAAGAGGATGGTAACAATTACCTGGCTGCCCTGTCAGTCTTCATATCTTCATGGGCCTCCTGTATATGTGTATGTATGTATGTATGTGTGCATGTATGCTCAGCTTTGAGATCTACAGACAAAGCTATTTTATTCCGATTTTTAATAACTACATTGGTAGTTCCTCACTGCTAGGTGATTAGTGCAACTGTCACTTTTCATCGCCACTTTTCACCAAGGAGACTGAGGCAGGAGTTGGACTAGGATTTGCACCAGTTTCTACCTGGCTGTACCCTGTATGTTCTCAGCAAGTGCAGTCACCTCTGGGCCCCAGCCTCCCTTGGGTCAGGCAGCAGGACTGGCTGAGCTGTGGGAACGCTTTAGCTCCAGGAGCCCCTGTCTTCAGGGAAGAAGTTCTCTGGCCAAACTGCTTTTCTCCATCTCAGCTCCCTTATTTCTTACTGCAAACGCTGCTGGGAACCTCTCCTCCCTTAGCTTTCGTGACATTGTACTTTCTATACTTTGTTTCTCCTTCTCTGATCTGCCTTCCCTGCACCTCTGGATTTCCACTTAAGAATTCCCCTCTTGCCATAATGCAGCAATTGCCAATTGCTGCAAGAATTTTTAAAACATACCCCTGACTATTTAGTGAGGGGCACTGGCCTCTTTTCCCTTACATTGTCAAATAAAAAAAATGGCAGCAGCCAACACAACAATAGCCATCCGGTGTAAATGAATCAAAATTATACCTAATTTTTTTTTTTTTTGTCAGATCTGCAAAAAAACATATTTCGGTGTGCTGCAGAATTTTAGTAGTTTATGTGTGCATGAGATGAAAAAGGGTGAAAATCGCTGCCCTAGAAGAAAAGCCCCTTTCTTGTTTTGTTTTTTGAGGCCATACAAGACATTTTTGTTTTCTTACATGCCATAGGAAACTTTCCAGGATTAAGCGATTGGACGGTTCATCAACTCATGTACCCATGAATTTCCCCACTTCCCTTTAAGTTTTTAGTATCTGGAATCATAGTAGTTAAGAATCATATGATATGATACGATTCATTCAAAGAGAGAAAATTGATGAAAACAAATTAAATTTTAAAAGTCTACTTTGATGAAATAGTAGCCCTGTCTTTTGAAGTTAAGGCTTTTTTCAGGCCAGGTGCCATTTTCATGAGTAAAGGCCCGTATGTGTTACATTCAGAGCAGGAGCAGTTTCTCTAGTATACATTCAGAGCTCCCTTCCCTGGCCTTCCTCTTGCCCCACTTTCTGCCTGTCTTTGCCCCGCTTTTTCTTCCCCTTCTATCTGTCCTTCACCTCTGTTCTGCTCTTCACATCTGGTGCTCATTTCCTACGTAGACTACAGCAGCAGGAGAGCACCGAGCGCGTGCTTTATCAAGGCCGCCGGTATGCTCCCCTCTTGGCTGGTCTTATCTGTAACGAAACCCTTAGTCACCCAGGACGTGGTGGCTGGTGCCGGCTTCTTGCTTACCCTTCCCTAGACCAGGGCCGTCCAATGGAAATATAACCCAGGCCATACATATAATTTAAAGTTTTCAAGTAGCTACATTTTAAAAATGAAAAAGAAATAAGTGAACCAAATTTGAATTTTCCAGGAAGACAAAAACTTATCAACTTCTGAACACCTAATTACACAGCTTTAAACAATGTAAAGTAAAATAACAAAATAACAAAAACAGTTGACAAATCTGCCATCATAGTGGGAGATTTTAGTATAACCTTTTAGTAACTGGTAGAATAAGCTGACTAAAAACTAATAATGAATTATTTTTAAAAAAACAAAACATAATTAATAAGCTTGATCAGACTGATTATATAGAAAACATAATCCTAGCAAGTGAAGGTTATACTTTTACAAAAATTGAGTATACGCCAGGTCATAAAATAAGCCCTAACATATTTAAAATAATCAGTATCATACTAAGTTCTCTGAACACAATGCAACAAAATTATGTAAATTTTAAGAGATAATTTATTTTATTTTTTAATTTGAATTTGAAATTATTTAAATTTGAAAGATAGAGAAGTAATAATAATGAAAATATATATCAAGTGCTGGCCAGTGTGGCTCAGTTGATTAGGCTGCATCTCCTGTACCAAAAGGTTGCCAGTTTGATTCCCAGTCAGGGCACATGCCCAGGTTTCAGGCCCCATCCCCAGTAGGGGGCGTGCAGGAGGCAGCCAATCGTTGTTTCACTCTCACATCGATATTTCTTTCAATATTTATTCCTCTCCCTTCCTCTCTCTAAAAAAATCAATAAAAATATTAAAAAAAAAAAAATATATATATATATATATATATCAACACTTTAGGATGAATCATACACTTAAAAATACTTGTGGGATGCAACTAAAGCAGTATTTAGAGAGAAGTGTGCAGTCCCAATTGTTCATATTAGCAAGAAAAAAGGCATTAATAAACTGACCAGCTAAATTAAGACGTTAGGAACATAGCAATTAAAAGAAATCCAATGAATGGGAAGGAAGCAATTTTTAAAAAAACAGTTGAAATTCACTTTAATAATATA